CTCTGAGGTGTCACGGTTGGGCTGCGGGTGATGGTCAGGTGACGAGTGCGGCGCCCTCGGGCGATAGGGGGATGGCGACTCTATCCACTGCTTGGGCGAGAGGGAATGCATCGAGCCAGGGGCGGATGGCGAGGGCCTTATCGGACTGACACAGGCATGCACTCTCGATGGAGCTGGAGCGGAAGATCCCATCGCCGCTGATTCATCGGGGTGCTTCTTGGAGGTGTCGAGGCGGCTCTGGTAGGTCTTGAGCAGCTCCAGGGACTGCTGGAACTTGTCGCGGAGGCTGGAGGCCTCTGCAATGACCTGGCTGTGCTTGGCGCGCAGGCTGCTGACTTGCGTTTCGGCCGATTGCCGCTGCCGCCGCTCCTCAGAAAGCCGCTTGATGAGCTGGCCCACTCGCTGCTTGTCCAGCTGGTGCAGGTCCTTCAGCCGCGGCGCATCCGGTTCGGTGATGTCATCCATGAAGAAAAGGGCCGACCAAGAGGCTTCTACAGCCGGCAACGCTACTCTCTTAAGGCCGCAAAGGGAAAGAGCTGGGGCACTCGAGTTTTTGCGAGCTTGTGAGCGTGCAGACAACTGAAGGAATCGTGGAGTGGAAGCCTCTCTCTCCGCTCAGAGAGCGATATATTCAACGACGAAGCGGGAGATCTACCTTGTCGTCAAAAGAGAGACGAATTGCTGCCGGTGGGGCTCACCCCCATGTGGAGTGAAGAGGAGTGAATGAAGAACGGGCAACAGCACGTCATCGATCGATTTGTCATCCACCAACCGGCCCATCCACACCTCCAGACGGTACCCCGGACGGAGGCTGAGCCCCCCGACGAAACGAACTTACTCAAGCAGGAGCCTCCCTGCCCCACGTGAGCATTCACCGCAGGCCTCCTGAGGGAGAAGAAGGACAAGCAACACATCCCGGCCTCGTTCGTGTGTGTTTCTAGGTGTACCGAGCCCACCTGGCTACGTGTGCCCGCGCGGTGCGCCTGTCCAACCGGCGACGGATGGTGATAAGGTGTTTCAACTTGGACGATCCCGCACTCGGCAGCCTTTCTGCCAGTGCATCAAGTTCCGCCGAGACAGGAACATGGCTGCCACTGTCGGCCTCGTCAACAGCATCATCGCCCGAGAGATCAACCCCCCAGGAAGATATGTCCACCTCATAAACACATGGGGCGGAGACGCGAGGGCCATCGTCGCCATCGTCACGATCCACTCTCTTGACGACGGTGCCCACCTCTTGTCGCTCATCCAACTGGCCGTCAACAGCATGGAGGGCGTCCTGCAAGAGTGGCCGAGCAAGAAGGCGAGGGCCTGCGTGGTCAAAGAGCTGGTCAGCGCCGGAGCGGATGTGAACTTCGGCCAGCCCATATGGAATGCAGTGGACGAGATGGACCTGCCTCTCTTCAAAGAGCTATTAGCTGGAGATCCCCAGGTTCTCAGCCTTCGACCGAGCTTCGCCCGATTCCTTAGGCTGGGAGACATCCTTCGATGCGCTGTCACTGCATCCGACCCTGAGGTGCTCACGTGGATGCTCAACCACGGCATTGGGAGACACATCAACCACACGCGAAATCGCCGCATCCTGGCAGAGGCCGGACGGGCGGTTGCAGACTGTCGGCTGAGCAGGCGGGGAAGGACAAATCGTTGATTCCCTCGGCGCGCAGATGCATTCGCGTCTTGCTCGACCATGGCGCCTCCCTTCGAGACTTTCCTCTTGACCCCATGGTGCAGCAGGAGGTTATGGCCGTCTACCGCGATTATCTGATCTCTTTTCCTGGTGCGGCAATGCAGAAAGCCAATTCAGCCATCTCGGCAGCAGGCCCAATCCGCCCATTCACGCGGAGGGGGCGACTTGAGTGGCGCACTACCACGGCAATCGAACACTTCGCTGAATGGGCCGCCTCACAGACATCCATGAAGCAGCGCTCCCAGGTTCTCGATGGCAGGTGTTTTGCTCTGGTGTCGAAGGACGGATGCGACACTGGGGGGGTTAAAAAGGTGGTCAGACGCCTGACTCTTCGTGACGTCGTCTCGCGGGCTGTGGAGGACGAAGCTCACCTGTATGGGCTCGATATGAGGCTGGTCTGTAGGAGAGTATCAGACTCACGGTCAGCGACTGCCGAGTTGCCCTTTGATTGGCAGCTGTTGAGAGGAGTGGGAATTAGGCCAGATGGGAAGGAGGGGTGCAGTGAGTTGCGGTTTGATTGGTTTGACGAGGAGATTGAGGATGCGCTGGAGGAGCAAGGGGGGGCACTGAACTCGGAGGGAGAGGGGTAAGTGATGGTTGTGTTGGCTGAAGCGAGGAGGAGTTTGTCTCGGCTTTGTGCGGTGTGAGAGATGAAGGATCATGATCATGGGCCATTTGAATGGTCGTGACGCGCCCGGGTATGGGTCATTCATAAAACTGCTGTGTCTCGTACACAGGCGTCAAGAGAGGGACTGAAACTGTCTCCTGAAAGAGCGATGCGATGACAGCCCACACATCCACGCTACACTTGAGCTGAGGTAGCTCTGCTCTGCGTTGATTGACCTAGCTTGCAATCAGGATTGCGTGCGATGCATCCTCCTTCCCTCTTCTGACTTTGGTGCTCGGGTTGGTTCCTACGGACAGATGTCTACCAATCTGCGTGTGTGTGTACGTCGTGTGAGGCTGAATTGGCGCCATGGCCAGTTGGAAGCATGCAACAGACAGACGAGCACAATGGTGTGTGTGTATTAAGTTAAGATGCCCATCGAACGGAAAGACTCAATCGAGCCGTTAGCCTTCCAGTTGTCGCAGACAGAACTAACTACTGTACACACAAACGATGCACGTCATGTCATGAGATCCCTCGTCAGCCAGCTTGGCCGCACAAACAAATAAATGACTGTAATCAAATGACGGTTCACGACCTAAGTTCACTTCACGCAAACGCAATAGCGCAGCTCTCTGTGCCTCTCTATGCCTCAGCCAGTGCCACTTGAGGGACTGGAGGAGGGAGGGTCCTGGTGTCTGCCCTCTCGCCGTAGTACTCGCATCTGTTGAGCACCGCTACCAGTTTCTGTGTCAGCGGGAGCGGGCTCCCTGGGCGTGGGGGTCGCTGATGGTCACACACACACACACACGTGCACAGGCGTGTGTCAATGTACATGTCAGCAGCTTGGAGGAGTGTAGGTACCGTACTCTGACACTCGAGTCTGATGAGCTCTTCCACCGTTCGCCACACGAGTTTTCTCACGACGAGCGGATCATCCTCCGTCTTGCCCCTGAAGACACACACAAGACCCGACACACACACACACACACACACGCACACAGACTGTTCTTGTGTCCGCGCGAACCTTCCAACGGTCTGTCTTTCCTTACTTGTTGCCCAAGACGGCCTCGATAGGCAAGTCGTCACTAGCACTCTCATACCCAACGAGCTCCACATCAGATGGGATGAGGGTACCCGACAGGAAGCTCTTGACGTCACCAACAGTGTCGAAGGGCCTCTTTTGCAGCCATTCCGCTATAGCGGTACAGAGGACGACATCGCTGTCTTCGTATCTGTACCAGCGAAAGTGTTCCGGACGAACATTAACCGCCCTCAAATGTCGAAGAAGGAACGACTCGTGCTGCCATCTCTCCCTCGCGGAAAGGCGATCTCCCATATATTCAGTGTGGGAGAGATCTGCTTTCAGCTTAGGGCGATCATTGCGTTACACGTCGACGCGACGCACGATTCTTATCGCTGTACGACTCTTCATTCGTTGACCATCGGGTCCATACACACGGTTCCATACACACATGAGACACACACACAACACACACACACCCCGACCGCTGCAAGGCCCCAATCAACGCATGAGCCTTGGCGATTCATTCTTGGTGCACCAAGACACACCACACCACGACCGACAGACGCTGAGCGCTGCCGCTCCCGGACTGCCTGACGCACGAGCAGGTGTCAGTCAACACATACAGCGCACACACGCATACACACACACGGCCAGCGTAGTAGTAGTATTATAATACAGACTGATGACGACCGATGGGATCATGTCATCTCGTTTACAGTGTCTATGCTCTCTCTTATCCAGCCAACCACACCCACAGCCACAACCACAGAGAGGGTCAAAAATTGGCCCACACACAGCATCACACAACACGCAACACACAACACGATCGATGTCCTGTCCACATGAACGAACGATTCAGTGAGTCCATCCATGACGTGACGAAAAAGCGGGCGAGCAGCAAGTGTGTGTGCGTGCTGACGTGACACGACGGACGAAGAAATATGAGCAGCGAGTAGTAGTAGGTAGGTTGATGCGGCAAAAAGAGGAGCGCCGAGACATCCACACACACCACACGCACGGCATGCACGCGAACATATACCCCGCTCCCTGACTAACCCCCCTTCCCTCCCACAGGTACCTGCCCAAGAAATTTGTGGATCAGATCCGTCCCTTTTTCGCCCCTGCGCCCTCTGTGTTTGGAGAGGCGGCTGTGCGTCTGTCTGTCTAGACGAGACCACGGCAACACGGCGGGCAAGGGACACCGAACACAAAAACCCCAGCGGTGAGACAGGAAGACACGCAGAGTGTCACGACGGATGGCGGCAGGATGACACAAATGAGAGCCGAGACAGAAAGAGAGAGAAGGAGAGGAAAGCAGAAGAAGGCGAATTCGGGAGGGAGTAGGTGTGCGTGTGGGTGAGTGGATGAGGGTGCTACATGCAGTGGATGGCATGGGATCCGTGGCGTGCAGTGAGTCAAATCAAAAGGACGGACGTGTCCAGACGAAAGATGCATGAATGAGCATTATGGATGGTCACACAGACAAACAAACGGGAGCGACATTTGCACTCACCACTGGCTGCCTGACCGGCTGACCGACCGACCGTCCCGCCGCGCCCCCGCCATTGCCCTCACAACAGAGTGCGTGTCACTCTGCCTCCGAGCATGGCGAAGGGCTGCGTATGGCCGGCCGGCCAGCCATGCAGCCAGTGCTTATCGACAGGGTGCTATCGACACAGATCGAGAGGGGTGTGCCACCAAGACACTTACAGGCGAGCGACAGAGTAGACAGGCGGCAAAGATGAACAGAGAGAGAGAGCGAGAGAGAGCGCGAAAGAGAGAGAGCGTAACGACTGTGTGCACGGAGCCAACACAACACAACACAACACAAGACAGCACGACGACATGAGACGAGACGACACGAGACAACGGACAGCAAACAACCACATGGATGAACCAAACACCAGTCCACCAAAAAACTCCCCCCATCACCCACACACACACACACCACCCCTCCCTCCCTCCCTCAGGCAAACCTCCTTCTCGGCTGCAGGTGCAGCGACCGCCCAGCCAGCTCCTGCAGAATCAGCAGCGTCTCCTTCCCGCTCGACCCCAGCAAGTCGCTGTTCTCCTCGGCGCGCCGCAGGAGGTACGGCAGCACCTCCTTGATGGGCCCGTAGGGCACGTACTTGTATGCGGCGAAGCCCGAGGCGCCCAGCTTGAAAGTGATGTGGTCACACATGCCCAGCAGCTGTGCGAAGGCCACACGAGGGGAGGTGGGGGAGAGGCCGCGGAGGTGCAGGCCTGCCACGGCCTTCTTGATCGACTGCTCGTTGTGCGTGCCTGCAGGTGAAGAGAAGAACAAACGGCGCGACAGACAGTGCTTTTGTCGGGATCTTCTGCCTGTCCTGTGTGCATTTCCGTCACGCACCGAGGACGACTTCGATGCGATGCAGGCTGTCGAGGATGTGGGCGACACACCCGTCATAAGAGGCGTGTGTGTCCTCGAGTGAGCGACAGATGGGGTCCTCGTAGCCCTTCTCCGCGGCAAGCCGCCGCTCCTGGTACATGTAGGCGCCCCGCACCAGCTTCACACCCAGGTGGAAGCCCTCTGCGTGCGCCTGAGCTATCCCCAGCAGAAGACGCTCCTCGCATTTCCTGACCGAACGACAGAAAGATCGATCGATGCAGCGTGGTGGGGTGGGTGGATCCTGTTGGCTCCTTAAGTACTTGAGGTATCCCTGGTAGGTGTTGTAGACGACCGCCCTCTCCTTGTTGTGGGTGCGCATGGCCTGGAGGGTCACGTACTCGATCGCCGGCTGCATGTACGTCTGCTCCGCGTCGATCAGCACGCTCACGCTGCCCAGCGCCTCGCACTCGGCCGCCACACGGCCCACACGCTCAACCACCTTCGCCCACTCCTCCCTCTCGGCCTCGCTCAACCCGGCCCCGCCATAGTGCTCACCACAAGGCCCGAACTCGCCCATGAACTGCGCGTAGCCGAGCCGACCGTCCTTGGCGACCTTGTCAAAGGCCTCGCCCCACTCGCCCGCACCCCACACCTCTGCCGCTTTCTTGGCGAACGTCACGCGGTCAAGAGAGGCGGTGTTTCTGTCTTCCCCAGTGCTGACGCCGATGAAGGCGTCGAAGGCGGCCTCCATGTCCCTGACGACGTCGCTCACCTTGACGAGTAGCTGAGGGGTGGCGAGAGAGGTGAGCTTGACCGCGGCGTATCCCTTGGCTGTCTGTGCCTGGGATGCGCGCAGAGCGTCGATGGTGTGGTGGCAGTTGATGTCGAGCTCGGCGTTGATGTCGCTTGGCGACACCGTGGACGAGGGCGAGTGGAGGTCCTTCTCAGCAGCATAGTCCAGGATCGACCCCACACCTGCACCCACACACCGAACACACGATGGCGTGTGCCGTGGTGCCATTGCCTTCTCCGTCTCAGGCTCAACTCCACTCACTCACCGTGCGATGACAGCGCCGCCATGGTGTTGTGGAGGTCGCTGAGCTGCTCGCCTCCGCAGAACTGCTTGAAGAACGTTTGCTTGAGCGCCCAGTCGGTCAGCTGGTCCCCCGCCACTTTCCTGGTGCACCCTATCAGCTTGCTGGCGTTCTGCACCAGCGGCTTCACCTTGCACAAGTTGAATATCGTTGCGCTGCGGGCCAGCTCCAAGGACGACTTGTGCTTGAACGACGTGCTCGTGTCACAGAAGTCGATGTCACCATGGTGGTGAGGGGCGGAGTGCCCTGAGTCGCCGGCAGGAAACGGGTGCGGAGCCGAGGGCGAGGGGGAAGCGGTGAAGGTGCTCTGGTGGGAGCGTGGGAGGGCAACGGTGGCGGTGCTGGTGGCTGGTGGGCATGCCAGGCGGGTGAAGGGTGTCAGTGCTGCTGGGAGGCGTCGCTGAAGCATCTGCTTGGCCGCAAACACGACTGGCGAACACAGGCTGAAACAGGCGGACGAAGACACCGCTCCTCAACGACGATCAAATGCCTACTCAACGCGCAGAGTCCTGTGGCTGTCCGCCTGCCCAGCCGATGTCCTTCACGTGCCCTTCTCTCTTCGACCCTCCAGCAAGCTCGCACCAGTTTGCGAGCTTAGCCGCACAGCCGCTGAAGGCAGAGCTCAATCGGCAGAGCTCATCCAGTCAGAGATGGGTCAGACTTCCGGGGAGAAGAGTGGACGGTGTCTGCTGTACTGTTTGCGGCATGGGGAGACCAACTGGAACAGAGAGGGGCGCATACAGGTATGGATCAAAATATGCACCGCAGATGCCCAATCGGGCACTCTGAGCCTTTTGCGTGTCTGTGCAGGGTCAGCTGGATCAGCCGCTGAATGACACAGGCCGTCAGCAAGTGCGCATGAGTGCCCAGCAGCTCAAGTACGAGTCAACTGGACGCCACGGAAAGCTTTAAATTCGCACGAGTGTGTGGTCTGCTGGCTTGTGTGCAGGAAGGAGTACGACCCTTTGCCCTTCGATGTCTGCTACACAAGCCCGCTCCTGCGGTGCAGCGAATCGGCTGAGATGTGAGTCGTTGCCACGCGGGAACAATCGAGGCCTGCCTGCTGTGATGCCACGTCTTGTCTGGCGTTTCGCTTGTGTGCAGTTTGGTAGAGGGGCTGGGTATGCCCGCGTCGGCCATCCGGAGAGATGACGCACTCAAGGAATGGAACGCCGGGAAGATGCAAGGTGGCCCAGACGGTCAATGAGTGTGGCGCATGTCATGTTAGTCAGTGTTCATGTCTTGGTTCGTTGGTGCAGGTCACCTGTTGTCCGAGCTGGCCAACCTGTTCCCGGCCGAGTGGCACGCCTGGCGCATACACCGCGATCCCGACCATGAAATGGCGGGCGGAGAATCGTTCAGACAGAGGTAGGCAGATACACCCACAGGCAGGCAGGCAGACAGGCAGACAGGGAGGGAGGGAGGGAGGGAGAGATTCACGATGGAGGATTGACGAAGGGGTGGGTTGGCTGCCTTGTGCTGGTGCAGGTACGTTCGTGTGGTGGGCGCGGTCGAGCGCATCGCTGCGGCACACCCTGACGAAGATATCCTCATCATGACACACGGGGGAGTCCTCGATGACCTCTTCCGCAAAGCCACGTACACCTCACACACCGCACGGCCTCCTCGACACACACACACATTCTCTCTTTCCTCTCCTCCCTCTCTCGCTGATCAGCAACATGGGTATGTTCGCGCCGAGCAACTGCCCCAAGATCAACGCTGCGGTGCACCTGATCCAGCTGACGCCCTCCGGCCGGCCAGAGGACCCCTTCGAGTGGACCATCCTCAAGTGGGGCAACGTCGACCTCGACAAGCTGCCCAAGCCCGCGATGGCCGGCACCGAGCACCACCTGCCGTCGTTCGTCGCGCGTGAGGGGGCGCAGACGGTCACGGTGACGGAGGGAGGGGGCGCGGGCGTCCAGGGCATCGAGTACGCCTGAAGTGATTGATGGTGGAGGTCACTTTTGTCTCGATCTGGATCTGGATTCGTCAGACTGTGGATAGGTAGCTAATGAGGCTGGCTGGGCGGGCGGGTGTAGCGCTTGTGTGTGTGTAGTTGGGGTTGGTGGGCGGGGCGGAAAGGGAAGGGGGAGTCACGACAGACACTTTTGTCGTAGAACAGGGCGGGAGGGATGGGAGGCGGGGAGGGGAGGGAAGGGAAGGGGCAGTTTTGGTCGATCCACGTACAAACATACAATCAATACACACATACAGTGTGGGGTGGGATTGGTGTGCTTGTGTGTGTGTGTGTGTGCTTACGTACATGTGTGTGGGTGGTGTGGTGGGCGGGGGGGGCAGGAGGTGGCGCCCTTTTCGTCCCATTAATCGTTTTCTCAGCGCAGTTTCCTTCCTTCTTCCACCGCACCGTCACTGCATCACGTCCATTGCGCGTCTTCGCGACACACTCGGTCGGTCGGTTGTGTTGGAAAACGTTCGGATGGATGGATGGTATTGAAATGGAAAATGTCTCCAACCGTCCCGTCCGTCGTACACACTCACATCCTCAATCCATCGCTATACATGAGAGAGGGAGGGAGGGAGGGAGGGAAGTGCAGTATGCTCAACTGCTCAGCTGACAGACAAACGTGAAACGCATTCATCGCATGCTCAGCTGGCTTGGACGACGGAATGAATGACCTATGTACACCTAATTCCACCAATTAAAGCCACCAGACGTCAGTTACACCCGCCTGGCCTGTGTGTCTCTCTCTGCCTTCCTCTTTCAATCCATGGCAGGGACACACAGACACATGAGCTATACGCCGACATCCATCCATCAGTCGTGTATGCCGTGGTGGTATCCGTAGTGTGTGATGTCCCGCTGTATCCGCTCCGCCTCGGCCGTCCGCTGACGCATGTCCTCATCGTCCTGTGTGCCACACCACACCACACCACATCACACCACTCGCAAACCTGGATGTCTCTGAGTCTGTGTCTGTTTGTGTGTCTGTGTGTCTGACCATGTCGAGAAGCTTGATCTGTTGCCTGAGCACCTCTGCATAGTCAGTGATGTTCAGCTGCGTGAAGGCATACTGCACCTTCTCGCTGTAGAGAGACAGCCACAGACACACACACACACACACAGAGAGAGAGAGAGAGAGCGCACAGTGAGTGTGTGAATCCCTTCTCACTGACCTCTCTGACACCCTCACCGTGTGGGGTCGTGCAGGCGCTCGAGCATGTCTTGTCGAATGCCGAAGTTGATGGGCTCCCAGGTCCACTCGTGCAGGAAGTCGTCCGGCTGCAGTCAGTGCATACCATACGGCAAACGGCCACAAACACACACACGCAGAGCAGACAGACATCGACATGACATCCTTCGTCCGGCAAGGCAATGACATCACTGACCACTTCGTATTTGTGGATCCGGGTCATATTTTGGTTCATACACGCCGCCAGCTCCTCGACCATCAGGTCCTCATCCCACTTGGGGTACCCACCTGCACAATGCACACACACACACACACACTGCTCCATGGCAAGGAGGGAGGCCAACCACAAACCACACAAGACCTTACCGACGAAAGCAGGCCCTCCGTAGAACTCGTGCAGCCGCTTGTCCTCCATCTCGGGAGGGTGATGCTGCAGATTCCACGGCAGGTAGGTCTGCACAGCACACACCGAACGAACGGTCAAACGCAGCGCAGAGGGAGAGAACCTGGCTGGGCTGAGTGACATTGTTTCCTTCTACCAGACCAGCGCTTGTCGTACCTGAAGTGTGTTGCCCCTGACGTGCAGGATGAGCAGGTTCTGTGTCTTGGTGTGCCAAGGGCCGACTGCATAGATCTGCCGTCAGCCGACCGACATATATCAAATCACCATCAGACCACACACACGTCATGCCCACGCCTCACCCCACGCCTTACTGACCTCGAGCAGCGGCAGGTTGGTCTCGACCGTCACGTTGACGATCTGCAGCTGCTCAGGGCCCCATTTCTCACGCACCTGCACAACAGACACACAACAACCATACCCACAGCGCTGTGTTCGTTTCCAGACGAAGCTACCGACCTTTCTGACGAACGAGTTGACCATGTTGGTGTCGTTCTTCATGCCCTCGCAGAAGTTGCCCTGCATGGGCCGCACGATCCACAGCATCGGCAGCATCTTGGGCGGCGCCTCGATCCACAACTCCTCCTCGGTCATCTCGCGCATACGCCGAACCCTGACACACACACACACACACATATACACACAGCGATGGATACTGCCTGCCATTGCTGTGTGGGGTGGCTAGTAATCACTTGAAGCTGAGTTCTTCTGTCTTGGTGAGTCTCCTCCTGAGGCTGACGGGTTCCTTGCCCTCCTTGACCAGCACCGAGTTAACGTACTGCTCCCACTCCTGACGCTCCTCCTCAAGCAGAAACTCCCAACCTGACAGCCAACCACCAATAGCAACACACACAACACAGAGAGAGAAGCATCCACATCACGTGCTCGCTCCTTCCTCCTTCACTCACTTGGCCACGATTCATTGAGTGGCGGCTGCCTGTCGATGCGCTCCCACGTCCCGTCAGGCGCCATCCGACCAAGGTCGCGAAACACACCTGACACCCCCAACACGATTTCGTCGGCAGCCTTCTTCGCACACAGCACCGACAGCGGCGGCTCTCCTGATGCTGCTGCTGAGGCAGGTGCGGGAGAGAGTGGCTTGCGTGGTGGGAAAAGGAGCCGATCTCTGAGTGCAGAGTGGCGGTGCAGCGGGCGGGGAGGGGCGAGGTATGCTGGTGGAGGGTGAGAGGGCTGGCGAGAGGGTTGGTGGCGTCTTCGCAGCCGGCCGCCCAGCTCAACGGCCGTGCAGACGAGGACAACAGACGCGAGAGAGCAGAAGATCAGCCACATTGATGAATGCATCTTCACAGATCTGGCCTCACATCCCTTCCGCGGTGACCGGTGCGCTTCGGTCCGTTGGTTTCTTTGCGAGCTCAGATGGCAAAGATCTGCGACTTGACAGCAGCCGTCGATGAGGTGCGCCCTTCAACGTCATCGCCTTCGAGTGCCGCTTGTCCCTTCTCCACCCCAGATCTTCTCCGGGCCCTTACCATTCTATGCGAGGCGAGGCGGCCACCTGCTTGACTCATCGCCAGGAGGCCTCCAATGCCGTGCGCAGTCGGGCAATGCAAGCAATGCGAGCAGTGCGGTGCCATCAGGGCCTCTGGAGCTGCAGACGGTGCGGAACATCGGGATCTCTGCGCATATCGACTCGGGCAAGACCACGCTGACGGAGCGCATTCTGTTCTACACAGGTGGGCACAGGTGGGTGTGTCGGTAGATCGGTGAGCAAGATGCATTCATTGATGTGATTTGGCTTGGCTTGGGGTGCACTGCACTGCCCTGCAGGTCGTATTGATGAGATCCATGAGGTGGGCAAGAGGGACGGGGAGGGGGCCAAGATGGACTCCATGGAGCTGGAGAGGGAGAAAGGTACAAACACATCCATCCATCCATCCATCCATCCATCCATGTCTGTGTGTATGTGTGTGTGTATGTGTGTATGTGTGTCTGTGGTGTGCAGGGATCACCATCCAGAGTGCGGCGACCTACTGCAACTGGAACGTCGATGACAAAACGCACCACATCAACATCATCGACACACCGGGTCGGTCACCCCCCCCCCCCCCCCCCCCCCCCCCCCCCAC